ATTTGTTAAATGTAAAAACAAAATATATATTGTGTGTTTGATTGGTCCAGACGCTACAAGTAAAAAAAAAAAAAGTCAAGCTGAGACCAACTGAGAAGAGAACAGAAGAGAACAGAACAGAACAGAATAGATGACTGGACAAGCGTCTTCCGTCCCTCTCTGAATGACAAGCGAGTCTGGACCGAACTCAAGTCCACTCCGCTGGAGTGCTGCGATCCCTCTTTTAGACTGAATTAATACACTCGCTCTTGTCAGATGGAGCCAAAACCCTGCTTTTAGAGCTGGAGGAAAATCAAGACGGTCATCACCATAACTCTGCAGAGGAGAAGCTACATCTGCATTATGAAGACCAGAGGACTTTACAGCGTTAGACACATTCAGTTGTCCACTGATTTTCTGATCCAGTGCAAACTATATTATCATCACACAGCTCTATATGTATACTCCTGTAAAGCAATATACACTATATAACAAATCTCAATTGTTGACTTATTTCTTTGCAAAATGTAACTATATTTTCGCACAGCTCTCTATATAAAGTTAGATGTATAAATATATCCAACTTTATCTGCATACATACAGTACAGTCACGTAAAGCTATATATAATATATATAGCAACTCTCAACTGCCAGATTTTTTTTGTCACAAAATTTAACTATATATATAAAGTTGTATATAAAATATGTCCAACTTTATCTTTATACATGCAGTATAACCACATAGGGTGACAAACAGTATATATTATATAGCATATCTCAATGGCTTGATTGCTTGTATCATCGCAAAATGTAACTATATTATCTCCCTGCTCTTTAAACAAAGTTGGATACATAAGTATGTCCAACTTTATTGACATAAATACAGTATACTCACATAGGATGATATATAGCATATCTCAAAGGATTAACTGCTTCACAAAATTACATTTTGTAATGTATCATCACAAAATATTATCTCCCAACTTGATGAGGCATAAAAATGTTAAGATATAAACATCAACATCATGATTTCCTGTAAAGCTGCTTTGAAACAATATGTATTGTGAAAAGCACTATACAAATAAATTTGACTTGAAATCTGACTTGACATTTTGCATACTTCAGTACTGTCTGCTAACAAGAGTCTGACCTAAAATCTCCTCACCGTCTCATCTGAGGCCACCAAGCCGAACGCGAGGCTATTTGAGGAGCACACGACTCTATTTCAGGTGCCCTCACACAATGCCTGTAATTAGCTCCTGTAGTAGTGTGTGTGTGTGTGTGTGTGTGTGTGTTTATGAGAAAGATCCCACCACCAGCTCTTTACACTGAACTACATGGGCCACGTAAACAAGGAGCTGCTAGCATCACGAAACAGACAATCACTTTCGCGTCTCATAATGCCTATTCTTCATGTCATTTCACTGGGGGTTGGTTTTCCAGCTAATGAAAATGGAGTATGATTACACACACGCAAAAAATTCTCTCTCTCTCTCTCTCTCTCAGCTATCCATTTAAATTCTACCCATCCAAACAGACTCGCGCATTAGTGTGGACTCACAGTAGTCGTTCTCTCTCGATCCTGCCAACTGCATCTCATCCAAACACAAGTGGGACACACCCAGGATGGCAAGACGGGCCAGACGTTGGCAACAAGACATCAAAATAAATAAAACAGATAACAAAGAGCGATCCAAACCACTACTTTAGCAATCTGTTGTTTAAATATTATAGCATGCATGACCTTAGAAACACCAAGGTCATGGGTTCGATTTCAAGAGATTGTAGGAATTGATAAAATCGTATACTTATTTGAATGCAATGTAAGTCACTTTGGATAAAAGAATCTGCCAAATGCATAACTATAAAAATGCACAGTAAATTATTTTTGTTGTTTTCACAGTATATTACTGTATTCTCAACAGTCCTCTTCTGTACAGTCTGCATACAGTATGCTACTGTGAATTTTCAGTGCATTCTGGGGGAAAAATAGCCTAATTTAAATGATTTAGATGAAAGCCCACAAGAGAGTAGGCTATGGCAGATTAAATTTAATTTTCGACTTATTAATTGCTTTATACGTTTTATTCTGATGTTGCTTGCAAGATATAAAGCTATGTTAGTTTCCATTAGAATATTTGAGCTAGTGCTCAATTTCTGAGTCAAGCTGTGCTAACTAGACTAAAATCTCAGCTTTCAAATGTTGTCACTTTTTAATAAACTCAAACAATAAACACAGTTTTGTGGCTCTTTAATGTGTCGTGACAGATCTCTGTAGCGCCTCAGTTCAAGCGGCATGTGAACCGATCCTTTCTTCAGCTTTACTAGTTAGAGCACGAAATAAACATGAATGAACATCAGAAGGTATCTTGTTTCAACTGCAGGAAGACGTCAATACACCATTTTTCAAGTTCAAGTCCACCGATGTATATCTACTCTCCTGTCTGGTTTGTTTGTCAGACAAAATGACAGATTCTGATTATGATTGGTCAGATCGCCTGTCAATCAAACTCTCGGCGAAGGGGAAATTACATTATATATACATCGTATTCTGTGTTTAAGTGATAAAAGCCAATAAAACATAAAATTACCTTAAGACTTTAGACTTAAATTAAAAAAAAAAAAAAGTGCTGCTTTTAGAGCCTATCTAGACAGCATTTGTGGTTTTGTTGATTACCACAGTAAATAATTTTGACTCGTTCCTCAGTTTTAAAAAAATAATCACGGTTACAGTAAATCACTTGAAATTGAAGTAAACAGGACTTAGCACTTTGAGGGCCTAAAAGTAGATATTTTAGGCTCACATTTTTGTTAAAAGCATTTAAAAGCACGCATGTGAACCGATCCTTTCTTCAGCTTTACTAGTTAGAGCACGAAATAAACATGAATGAACATCAGAAGGTATCTTGTTTCAACTGCAGGAAGACGTCAATACACCATTTTTCAAGTTCAAGTCCACCGATGTATAACTACTCTCCTGTCTGGTTTGTTTGTCAGACAAAATGACAGATTCTGCGTTATGATTGGTCAGATCGCCTGTCAATCAAACTCTCGGCGAAGGGGGAATTACATTATATATACATCGTATTCTGTGTTTAAGTGATAAAAGCCAATAAAACATAAAATTACCTTAAGACTTTAGACTTAAATTAAAAAAAAAAAAAAGTGCTGCTTTTAGAGCCTATCTAGACAGCATTTGTGGTTTTGTTGATTACCACAGAAAATAATTTTGACTCGTTCCTCAGTTTTAAAAAACTAATCACGGTTACAGTAAATCACTTGAAATTGAAGTAAACAGGACTTAGCACTTTGAGGGCCTAAAAGTAGATATTTTAGGCTCACATTTTTGTTAAAAGCATTTAAAAGCACATAAATATGTTTATTTAATTGTCTAAATCATCCTTTTTAGCGGCTGAATTCTAGGCAGATTAATTTCTGGTAATGTAATTCCTGTGAGTGCAATTTGCTTTCGGTAATCTTTCATGACGGTATCATAAGAAAATTACAGGGTTACTTTAAAGCATCATAGCGTAGATTGTAATACGTCTTGCATATGACTTTGAGACAAGATTAGTCAATTATTCTCCCATATAAGTCTCATGTTAACATGTATAATGCGAGTCTTAACGTTTATTTCCATTCTAAGTGCTTTACTGGATCCATGAAGCCAAACTGAAGAACAAATTACCAATGATATTCAGTGGTAAGCAACTGCAAATGCTGTCAACAGAGATTCATGTAGGGTGGAGGTAGATATCATACAACAATGTTTTTCTGCAAAGTCAGACCTCTCTTTCTCCTCCTTTCGCTGTCTGGCGTGCTCTCCTTTCCGTTTCTTGCTAATCACTTTGATGACTCTTAAATTGTAATCCAGATCGCTATAAATTACATTAATGGCCACTAGTGCCACTAATTTGTGCAACAATAAATATTGCCTCAGAAGATATGATTTCACAGAGTCGCCATGACTTGAATATTTGTCATCGGGCACTGGGGCGTTCGGGCCACTGTTTTGATTCAGTCCGACCCCAGGGTCGAAATTAGCATTAATCAATGAGACAGACGGACCTTTAATCGCTCATCAGACTACCGGATCAGATAGCGATGCTTTCCGGCGTTTTAAGGGGGACAAATTATGAACAATTACTCCATTAAACCTGCACTTAAACTTCTCATTTGAAAGACTTCAAGACTCGGTGTCCTTCAGTGAATCAATTGTGATGGCAAATGTTTAATAGAATAGAAAAAGTAAAACCTGGGACTCTGAAATATAACACGCTCACTCATAAGGTCACACGCTTCTCTCAGTTCGTGACGATAATTGAATTTTACTGCTGAAGAATGCGCCGTAAGAAGCATGGAAATGAACCATGGGTCCTTCGCACTTCATTCAAGGTCACGTCTGCACTCCCACATGCCAGTAAAATCAATCGCATGACCGGCCTGTGACAGAGAGTGCAACAAATAATTTCTAAAGAATCGTGAGCGAGCAGTCACGTTTAACTTTGATACATGCGGACATATTCATTAGCTGACAATTTTGGCATCTAATATTCATTATGATGAAGAGGTTCAAACTCACAATCAATTTCCTGTTTCTCATAAGAGCAGGGTAAGATCCAGCAGAGCTTAAAATCAATGCTCTTCCCTCTCACTTATCCTCTGTATAATAGCTCGGTACTGGTTTCCAATTACTCTCCCTTGTTGTCCGAGCTCAGATACTGTGAGTAATATTCTAAAGAACGACGGGTCAGAGGAGCGACTCTCCAAGGGCTCAGTGGCCATCTTCGACCTGGATTTTAGAAACTCCTGAAGCTGGAAGTAATACATCTAAGGGGCAACAATGGCTCTGTAACTCTTTGAATGGTGTTGAGACTTAATTATTACTATCTAGAGGTGTTTCGATCGAGAATGACTATGTGTTTTTGAACAAATCTTTTAAGTGAACAAATCATCCTTCCTTTGTAAAGTGCTTGACTGCTTTGGTGACCTTATCCTGCCTTCAAAAACTGATTGTAACACAAGTAAATAGTGTTATACTGCAGAATGAGCACAGATTGCATTGGCTGGACCAACCAAATGAATATATTCCTTCACTGAATGAATCAGAGTGAATTTAAAGCAGCTGTATGTAGTAGTTTTGTGTGTTTTTTGGACTTTGGAGTCCCCTACAGTTAAGTGGCATTCACTGTCGTTAATATATCACTGTCGTAATTGCAATGGATAGCTGTACACATGCATTTGTTGCTGCCGTAAAACAATCCACCCTTTTAGCGGGATTTCCTACACGTTCACCAAGCTCACTCCTCGCAAAACAGATGTTTCGGGAGGAACGTGAGAAAGCATCAGAAGCCATTCGGCTTATTAAAATTCAGTGTGCCATCAGAATAATTTTGGAACTGATATTTCAAGGTAAAAAACTTTGATACAATTGCTTTAAGTCTTTGACAAGCCACTCTTTAATGAATGAACTGAATAAATATGAACAAAACACGTTCGAGAACTAAAATTTGCTGACCGAACAAAAGGGGCTGTGTCGTTCGTTCAGTCCAGCATGGCACTAAAACGGTTTAATAGGTATTCAAATAGCAATTTCTGAATGTGTAAAAATGACTGATGAGCACACACAATTAAAATTACACTAATTGGCAGTAGCCTTTTGGGAATGCATTGCTTTGGTGCACAACTGGTTGCCCAACACTCTTAAAGAACATTATAATACAATTTTCATACTCGTGTAATTCATTTAAGCAGTCTATTGTTGTCTTTTTTCTATAGCAAGATAAAAAGCCAAGCTCAGCAGTCCCACAAAATGGGACAATAAACTATTGGAAATAATAATAGACTGACACTAAGACATTTTGGTTGTGAACAATTCGGTGTGGCCCAAAAAGTGGTCGAAAAACAAGTTTATCCATTGATGGCCATTCAAGACTTGCAATGAAAGCAGCATTTAAAGGGATAGTTCGCCCAAAAATGAAAATTACCTCATGATTAACTCACCCTCAAGCCATATGTGTATACGAATTTCTTCTTTCAGATGAATTTAATCAGAGTTCTATAAAAAAAAATGTCCAGGCTCTTCCAAGCTTTATAATGGCAGTGAATGGGGGTCAAGATTTTGAAGCCCAAAAAAGTGCATCCATCCATCATAAAAAGTACTCCACACGGCTCCGGGAGGGTTAATAAAGGCCTTTTGAAGCGAATCGATGCGTTAGTGCATGAAAAATATCCATCTTTAAAACTTTATAAACCATAATCTCTATACATCATAATCTCCATAATCCTTGGATCCATGTGGAGTACTTTTTATGATGGATATGTAAGGTCCATACACTTGGCCCATTGAAGGTATCCAGTGGTGGATGAAGGTTTCTTGCGTGTTCGTTCTTTTCAGCGAGCAGAGTTATTCAATTTAGGTTTAACTCAAATCTGACTCCATTTTAGTATCTAATCTGTCTCCATTTTAGTATGATCTCGAATTTAGGTTGAAAGGCAAATTGGTTGTTTGTCGGTCTCTAATTATTCTGACATTCGATTATTCTAGTTAACTCTTTACTTATATTTACTCGTTCATTAGGAATCTATGTCACTTAGGGTGCCTCACGGCGGCCGCTATGCGTGGGACCCACGATCACAAACTCGCCAGTTTGATCCTTAGCCAGAGGTTTGTGGCTAATACTATTTAATATGCTTTAAATAGTAGGTCTGTTTAGCCCCCTTCAGTTACCCATGTAATGCTCAAACATTAATCAGCGGTTCTGCTAGACCCTCTGTCTAGCCCCTGATAGTTAATATAACTACGTACAACTTAATTAATGCTGAAACAATATGCATGGTTAACGTAACTGAGTACAACTTAAACTAAGGTCAAGCGGTTAGTCAGAAACCCATAATCTCACCTGATGTGCCCCATGCTTCATCTAACCTGAGATTTAGTATGCACTTAACCCTGGACGCAGCTTTGTGGAAACATAGGCCTTCACTTAATCTACTTAATAATAATAACTTCAGAGTAATCAGAATGAATTCAAACGTAACAATTTATTAACAGTCAGGTAAATATGTATTATGCCAATTATCTACATAGCCAATTCAAAGATATCAAATCAATACAAGACATCAAATTCTCATAGACAAATCTAAGAGTAAAGGATTCATACCTGACTTTAGGAAAATACATAGTATTGAGTGTGTGGACACAT